AGAGATCTTCAGAGCAGTTACATTAATTTAAGAAAAATTTCAGGAAGTTTGATGGAGTTCCAAGGAATTATGTTTACGAAAAATTAAAAATTTGTATTTTTTAGGCGAAGTTCTGCGAGCTTAAATTAACTTCAGTAAAATTACGGCGAATTTTAAAATAGTTGAATAAAAAAATGTGTTATGAAATTATGGAAAAATAAGATATTATGATGATATTTTGTATGTGTAAGTAATAAGAAAAGATTGTAAAGTTTGTGTTTTACACATCAAACCTGCAAATTTAGCTTTGACAGAGTCACAATGAGCGTTTTTCTGATCGCCTCTTCGCGAAGAGTGAAGAGCGAAGAGTGGGTGAGATAAATTACAAAATCGCTTATTGCGACTCTCATGTAGCAAAATTGGCAGGTATTATGTGTCAAACACAAACTTAACAATCTTTTCTTGTTGTTTACATAATCAAAATATTTTCATAATATCTTATTATTCCATAATTTCATAAAACATTTTTTTAGTCAAAACGAATGGAAGGCACCCTGAACTCAGGGAAGTCTAGAACACTCAAGGCAAGTTCTTTCTGGTTGTACGAACATAAGTCAGTAATTGCACGTAAATCGTACACTAACACCAACCGGTGGAAACTAACTATTTTAAATTGGCTCACTACTTGAATAGCCTATTGGTCTCAAGCAAATCAATTAACTTACCCCATTCTAGTCGAAGTTCTAGTACTACACTATGTTTGTTAAGATTCGCTATGAAAGTTTGACAGATAAAATGAGGGGTTCGTGTTTCTAGGGGTGCATCGATTAGCTTGGGACCGAAGAGAGTACCAGAGCTGAGCCAAAAAGTTGAGCACGTTTCTTCGGGACGTTCTGGTCTTAGAGTTACCTCTATGCTAACACAAAGATCAGGGGGTCCCGACGAAACATGCTTAATTTTTTGACTCAAGTAGTACCAGATCTTCAGTTCCAAATTAATATCACCCTTCGAAACATAAGAAAAATCCACGAATTCACGCTGTCAAATTAAATTATTAAGGCGAATACAAAAAACACAAACTTTGACCGGTTCTAGTACTAAAATGGAGAACGCTTATAGATATACTTGGGACCAAGTCATGTAATGAGCCAATTTTTTTTTTTCATTTGGTTTGTTTTTTTCCGTCGATCTTGTTTTCCGTGCTGAGCACCAATGCTACCGACGTGCCAGGAAGGCAGCTCCCACACCTGGACCCTACCTATCGACCCATCAACTCATGAACCGGGGACCAACGGCTTTACTTCCCATCCGAAGGAAGGCGTAATCAGAGATGTTATGCTTCAGAACATCCCGGCGGCGCCGACTGGGATTGAACCCAGGCCTGCTGGGGTGAGAGGTAATCACGCTTACCACTACACCACCGGCGCCGTTTAAAGAGCCAATTTAAAATCGTTAGTTTCGTATTGATTGTTGGGTAAATTTCAAGGACACAAAGAAGTTACAAAAAATTCAAAACTTCCAAAAAACTCAAGGGAAGGTTAAGCAATTTGAGGAAAACTGCGAGAACTTCATAGAATTCCAGAGAACGTCAGGAGATCAGAAAACTTCAGAGAAATTCCTAAAGAAAAAATGTAAAATCATTTGAAAAGAAGTTCCGTAAGCTTCAGGGGAGTTTTGAAAATTTAGAAAACGTCACGGAAGATCGTTGTAAATCTATTAATTTAAGAAAAATAGCGGGAAATTTTAAAAAAATGTTTTAAAAGCTTCAGAAATTTGATGGGAACTTCATTTGAAGTTCGGAGAACTCAGAAAAACAAGTTCCTATAGAACTTCGGGGGAGATCATAGAACCATAGAGGTAACTCTAAGACTAGTAGGTCCCGAAGAAACGTGCTCAACTTTTTGGCTCAGCTCTGGTACTATCTTCGGTCCCAAGCTAATCGATTTACCCCTCGAAACATAGGAAAATCCATTAACCCCTCATTTTATCTGTCAAAATTTCATAGTGAATCAAAACAAACATTGTGTGGTATTAGAATTTCGACTAGAATGGGATACGTTAATCGATTTGCTTGGGACCAATGGGCTAGTCAAGTAGTGAGCCAATTTAAAATCGTTAGTTTCGTATTGATTGTTGATAGAACCACAAACGAAGTGACAGACGGAGCGGCTCGAAAACTTTGGTGACGCATCTGCTAATGCAATTTTTCAGTGTACCACAAGGCAACACCACTACTACTGGATTGTGCCACATGGCAACACTACTAATGGATTGTACCACATGGCAACACTAAATGTACTAGAGTGTTTTGGTTCTATCTCTTTCACTCTACTCTAAACTGAAATGCATAAAAAAATGACAAAATGATACACTCTTTGCACACTGTCGAAGATCATATCACAAACGAAGTGACAGACGACTAACTGGCGAAGAAATCCATTAAAATAATGTGGTTCACTGTAATAGAATTTTCTTGGAAGCTTGTGCCATCATCAACCAGATGGGTTAGTTTTTTTTGTTTTGATTTGAACAAAGTTGATTTTGTGTACAATGATTCTTTGACAGTGTACAAAGAGTGTATCATTTTGTCATATTTTTATGCATTTCAGTTTTGAGTAGAGTGAAAGAGATAGAACCAAAACATTCTTGTACATTTGGTGAAAATGCTAGTACAATCCAGTAGTAGTGTTGCCATGTGGTACAATTCAGTAGTAGTGGTGTTGCCATGTGGTACACTGAAAAATTGAAATAGCAGGTTAGTCACCAAAGTTTTCGAGCCGCTCCGTCTGTCACTTCGTTTGTGGATCATATTGTACACAAAATCAACTATGTTCAAATCAAAACAAAAATACTAGCCCATCTAGTGGCTGATGGCATAAGCTTCTAAGAAAATTCTATGACTGCGAACCACATTATTTTAATTGATTTCTTCGCCAGTTAGTCGTCTGTCACTTCGTTTGTGATAGAACCTTAGGACAGTTCCATAAATTTCAGGGAAATTACAAAAAAAAAAATTAAAGAAGTTTTGAGAACTTCTTGGAGTTTTGCAGACTTCAGGCCGCTCCTAGAATTCCAGAAAAATTCCGGGAACTTCAAAGATGATACATGATCGTTAGGGAAATTGAGTGAACTTTAGGGAAGTCCATAGAAGTTCAGGGAAATTTAAAGACGTCATGGGCGTGGGAACCAGAGTTTTTTTATCGAAAACTTCGGAACAACTCCGCGGCAGTTCCATTAACTTCAGGAAAATGGTGTAGCATTTTAGAAGTTCTAAGAACTTCCAGTGCACTTCAAAAAAGTTTCTTAGCGCTTCGAGGAAGTCTAGGATTTCACTAATGTTTACAGATATTTAGGGCAATTACGTGAACTTCAGCACAGTTCCGAGAACTACGTCTCAGATAATTTTGTGGCGGCTGAAAGCAGACAAGTCTCAGTGTACGTTTGTGGGAACTAAATTGTATGTACTTGCAGATATACACCCATACTCTCGTTTTCGTTCGAACCGTATTTTCCATACAAATTTTTTTTTTTTTTTTTGTATGGAAAATACGGTTCGAACGAAAACAAGAATATGGGTGATAGACTTCTCTGGATCGGGTATCAAGATTGGGTTTGCTTGTTTTATGACAAACATCAGTTTGATCGTTTGTTTTTAAAACCTACCGCAGATTGAGGTTCGCACTGACAAAAAGTTCGGTTTCGCACTGGGTTGGAACTGGTTTCAACCCCGATAATAAACGAATTCGCTAAAAGAAATCAGTGAGTAACCGGCTATAAATGTACCATGAATTTAAAGTTGATCAAGCAGTTACCATAGCCTTGACCCGCTTTTTGGCAGCATTTAAATTTAGAGTGCATGGTGTTTGGTTTGTTTTGCTTGCATCGATCAGTCTGTCAGTCATTCCATTCAGCTTAGTTGATCAGCAGATCCTAACTTACCGCAATACTTTTCGTTTAGGGAATTGAACATATTGAGAAATATTCTTCCGCAATGCATTTCGGTCGAGTAAGGTAGGTTCCAATTCTTTTCCCCCTGCAAAGAAAGCGAAAACTGTACCGCAAACAGGTGCGGAGAAAGCCGGTTCAAGTCCAAACGCGGTTTTCAGATTAGTGAGTGAATTTCGCAGAGCTACAATGTGCTACATTCGAATTTCGGTAAAGCAACGTAGTCGTCAAGATCGTGACCATCGGACGGGCAGAGAGAGATGGAGAGATTATTGTTTTAACTCGAGAGAAACGCCCTTCACCGACCGACAATTCCGCGGGCGCAAGTTGCTGAGTCGACAGATGTAATTGTTCTTCCTGTATATTTGTGTTTTTTTTTTGGTAGCATTCATTCGATAAATTTACAAACAAAGTGTTTCAAACCTTACAGGCTAGAGCTCTCTTCCGATGATAGTAAACTTTGCCTATTCCAACAAAAATAGAAAATAATAACTAGCGCGCGCTAAGACCTAGCTATATAACCAATAAGATCCCCTTGAGTGCAGAAACGATGATGACGCAGGTGGTGAGTGAGTAGATCGGTTACAATTTCATTACAGGACTAAAATTAAAAACACAATGAGTAAAGCTTTTTTTCCCCTACTAAATAGTGCGACAAACACAACGAAAAAAAAATTAAATGATTTCTTTTCCATTTAGAAACAAACAAAAACAGCGTACTTTTCAATTATCATTCCTTTGCTTGTTTTTTATCTTTTTCTTCTTCTTCTTCTTCTTCCTGCTGCATTATTGTGAATCTCAATTTAAATGACTAACCACACACATACATTAATGCCTGTTTGTTTTCATGCCGGAAGGCTTGGCGCACCGCACCATTTTCAGTGTAGTACTAGAATGAAGCGTTCCTTTTGCTGCTGCTATTGTTGTTGTTTTTTTTTTGGCGTTGATCAGAGTTCGAGTCCCGGCTGTATTATTTTTTCGTGATAAATAAATCGATGAATGCGTGCTTGCGTGATCTGTTTAGTTTTGTTTTTGGTTGCAATTTTTTGTGACGTTTTCGTTCATTTTACGTTTGCTTTGCTTTTTTTTGGTAGGTGTACATAATTTATAAACGAGTAAAAAAAATCCTAAGTAAAAAATAAATATCACAAAACGATTCCAGTGACCAATGTGTGGATGGAAGATACACACAAACACAAAGAAAAAAAAAATACTTGTTACGGTCTCTACACATAATCTGAGCGGGATTGGTTGCACTTTTTGGTTTCCTAAAAACAATAGGCGCCCTTATGACCTTCTTAGTCTTCTTCTTCTTCTTCATCGCTTGTTCGTTCATTCATCGATTGTTCTGCGGTGTTGTTGTTTAGCTGAGATTCAAACCTCTCTGTCTTTTGTTGATGTAGTTTGATTCGATACCTAGTTATAAATTTGAGGCGGGGTGGGTTCTAGGATTTGTCGTTTGGCTTTGGGGTGTTGTTGGTTACTGATGATGGCTATTGAGGATGATCTTTCCAGTATACTTTGCCGAAGCGGCAGCAGCCTTGCCTTTCCAAACATGGTGGAAGTGAGGTGGCTGATGTTTGATTGTGTGCCACCGTAGTTGCACTGCCTTCTTGCTTGTTGCTGCTAGTGGTCATTGCCATTGTCTCATTCTTGGTCGTCAAGGTCAAATCGTTGTTCATGGTGGTGCCAGGAGGGGTGGCCCCGTGGGAGTCACCTTCCAGGCCATCCTTGATGTCGCTAGCGGTGCGGTGAGCCTTACTGTGGGTAGATTTGTTGTTGCTGTTGTTGTTGCGTCTGCTTCTACTATTACTATTACGTCTACTAGTCGCTGCTGTTGAGTGATGATGATTCTTATTGTTTTTTGTTTGTTGTGGTTGCTCGTGTTGCTGCTCTGCTGTTGCTGGTTGGGCGTGAGTTTTATTGCTACCTCCGGCCGATGAGTCCGTTGGGGGGCTGAGTACTACTCAGGTGAATAAGCTCCAGCTCTACCAGCAGCGGAAAGTGATCCGACGGTATGTGCGGATGGGGACAGCCGGCCACCTTGTTCTCCCGCAGCCAGTCGGCCGAGATCGGACCGAGCAGACCCAGTGGGATCATACCTTGCTTCGAGTAAAATACATAATCAATAATACCTTTAAAATCGAATGTATAATTTGTATATGGCATTATATCTTCACTGTACGCAGACGCTAGCTTAAAGGAATGAGTAAATTCATTTGGTGTATCACAATTTGATATACGCTGCAGGCAGGATTTGTAGCCCAGCTCCTTGAAATCTTGATGGTCCATTGATACACGTCCGGCACTGAGAAACTCGATCACCCCGGAGTCCGGCAGCGAGTTGAAGTCACCGCACAGCACCAGCTGCACGTTGTTCACATCGAACTTGTATCCCGGCCGGAAGCTGTGACCGGCCTCGTCCAGCATCGTCTTCAGCTCGTTGCTCAGCATCATCGTCTGGATGAGCTTGACGTCACAGAACTCCGGATCCCAGTGAATGTGCGCCGTACACACCAGAATTGGCTGCGAGGATGCAGTCTGCTCCGGTGGGACGCTTTCCCATGCACTTTCCTTCACTTTAAGCAGCGCCGCCAGCCCGATGTTGTCCTTGGGCATTACCCGATTAAGCATATGGTCCGACCCTTCCGAGTTCGCCATCGCAAGCTGGTTGAATTCGATCAGGCTTTCCTTAATGAGGGAGAACCTACAAAAAAAAGCCGTCCATCAATCCAAATTCCCCGAAGCCGCAAATTGCTGGCACTTACTTGGACGACCGGAAGAAGATTGCACACCCGTCGACGTACTTCCGATCCGACTCGGACATGGTCTTGGCCCGGGACTTGGGCGAGAAGATGCCCTCGTAGCCGTCGTTCTTCAGTTCCGGTTTGAAGAAGTTGAAGAACTGGTCCGTCTCGACCTCCTGCAGGCTGATGATGTCGGCCGAGTAATGCCGGATCTCGTCCAGGATTGCCTGCAGAGAATGCGAAAAAATGGGTCAATCAGCTGAAGTCAACGGGGCTACTTAGAGATAGAGGCTAATACCTTTTTTCGATACTCCCAACTCAGCGCCCAGCTGGGGCAGTAGCCGTACATCTGTCTGGTGGCGTACTTATCGCACAGCACGTTATAGCACATGACGGTGAATATGCCTGGAACGGAATGTGAATTCATAAAGGGGGAAAATATGTTAGTTTTATTTATATTGTGAAGTTGCCGAACTGGGTGCACTGAGACTGGGTTTGATTTGAGAGATGTGCTGAAGTACTAGAATATAATCAACGAGAAAAAGCGATGTCTGCGAAGAATCAGGTTTCTTGACGTTGAATTGAAATCTTCTTCGCGCGAGTCTAATGCCTTGTTCAGACTACAGAGTTATAACAACCGGTGGAAACAGGTGGAAACTAACGATTTTAAATTGGCTCACTACTTGACTAGCCTATTGGTCCCAAGCAAATCGATTAACGTACCCCATTCTAGTCGAAATTCTAGTACTACACTATGTTTGTTTACATTCGCTATGAAAGTTGGACAGATAAAATGAGGGGTCCGTGGATTTTCCTATGTTTCGAGGGGTGCATCGATTAGCTTGGGACCGAAGAGAGTACCAGACCCGCATAAACGCGAACCATAACTTGACCTTACCGAAAATGATTAAACATTGTTTATAATCCCTGCCAAACTTTAACTGAAATGGTCATGAAACTTTACATGAACGTTTGTGTGATAAGGTTTCAACCTTATGTATTATGGTTTTTTGGAAATTTACCTTACAAATAATTTTCTCCATACATTTTCGGAAAAAAAAACTATATTAGACTAGTAGGATTGGGCGATCTTAAGAGAAAGATCGATCTTGACGGATCGATCTTATGTTTGGCTCTAGAATCAATCCACTGATTAAATCGGTACCAAACTCGCACACTTGTGTAATTGTGTAATTTTCAAGTGCTTAGTTTGCTATCCTCACTTTCGCTCTAGCCAAAAATGTTGGTTTGTTATTGTTATCCTCACTTTCGGAACATCAATACTCTTGCATTAGAATGGACTTTCTATTATAAGATTAAATTAAATGATGTCGTGACGGTAAGGAGCAATGAGCACAAGACGGAGGTAGCTAAAACCGTCAAATGTTGCTGTATTCTTAAATCTCGGAAACGCAAATAGTGATGTCGTTGTAGGGAGCGATGCTGATGTTTACGTTATGTTCGCTTAATTTACCACCCAGTCTGGGGTGAGAGTAGCTCGTTTTTTCGATGTAAATACAATTACAAAATTTAACGCCTATTTTTTTGAAGATCGGAAAGTTCGAAATAAGAGATCAATGTTTTCGATCTTTTCGTGTGAACAAAGAATCGATCCAAAAAATCGGAAATCCAAGATCGCCCAATGCTAGTTCCATCCTTTTCACGAATATTCTATCACCGCTCTTTCGATTTGTTTAATATGCGTTGGGTCCCGTTTTCGTTAATTTTTTTAAGATAAATATCTGGATGGAAGATAAATTAAACATATTACGTGTAATCTTCAAGTGTTTTCACGTGATAAATGTTTTAAATATATATTTTAATTTTCCGTCACATTCCACATGAAACCTATGTTGATGTGTTTCACAAAACACGAAACTATCAAAGTCGAGTGCTCTTTCGCTTGTCCGCTTCACCGAAGCTTGAAATCAGCCCACATCGTGCTCTCTTGCCGTGCAGATCTATTTGCTTTTTGCTGAAGGAAGTGTTACTACTACCTAAAGCTACTTCCAGTTTACACAGCACTTTTCAGTGCTCAACCTGTAAAATTTCTACCTTGTTCAACTCTTATTTCTCTTCGATCCTTGGTTGAACCCTACCCGAGGTAATCCTTCTTGGATATCGATTTGGAAAATTCCTCCTCGAATCCTTCAGATTCTTATACTAATCTGCTTGGAAGTCGATTTGGATAAAAAATTACTGCCGCCATGGCGCCTAAGCGCAAAAGAAATGGGCAATCTCTTGATCCCCCTTCTGATGCAATTTATTTGAACAATCAATTAGATATGCTCACGGATGATGAGAATGATCCATCATCCAGGCTAAAATCCAGTAAACTTTCCCGGATTAATGCCAAGAAGGAAAAGGTCCCTCCTATTGTGATAACCACTTCCGATTTCTATGCTCTTCGCACGGAACTTTTGAACTTCGTTAAATTCAAGTTTTCACTTCAGATTGCCTGCCGGGGTGAATGCCGTGTATCGACAGAAATATTGGACGGATTAGAACGTCTTCTCCAGTATCTTACTGAGAAGCAGCACATTTTTTTTACTTACGACACCAAAATTGAACGTGTGATCAAGGTTGTCATGAAAGGACTGCCCAGTGCGTGGTGAATCCCTGGATCAGATCAAAGATGAACTGGCAAAATTACTACCACTCTAAGTAATCAAAATGAAAATGAAATCCCGTCCTGGCGATTCGCGCAACGGGTTTTCTAATGATTTTTATTTAGTTCACTTCAAGTCTAGTGAACTTAACAACCTTAAGGTCTTAGAAGAAGCTAGCATTTTGCTCCATGTCCGAGTGAAGTGGGAACACTTCAGGAAGACTGGAGGAAATTTCCAAAACCTCACCCAGTGCCGTAAGTGCCAGGGATGGGGTCACGGAACTAAAAATTGCTACATGCCAGCTAAATGCATGAATTGTGGTGATTTCCTAACGCAAAGGACGACTGTCATGTGAAGGAAGATCCTAAGAAATTTAAATGTTCAAATTGTGCTGAAAACCACAGCTGATCCTACAATCTCGTTCTAAGTGACAGGTAGGAAACGCTCCACGTTTCCGACCAGGTACAAATTCCTCTGCTGTTAACAACGGTCAGCGGGGAACAAATTCTACATTCGTACCCGTAGATACAAATACCACCCCTGCTTCAAATGTTTCATCTATACCTACTCCCCTCGCTGCTAACAATGTTCAGCTAGTTAATGGAGCTACCTATGCTGCTATTGCACCGGGTAGAAATCAAAATACTAACCAACGTAATTCTAACGGAAATTTTGATAATTTTGACTTAGGAAGCATTACTGCTCCTAAAATGGAATTTTTACAGAAATCATTAATGAAATGATTTCTGATATGCTTGAATCTAACTCCATGCTCAATCTCTTGAAGATAATGAAGACGAGCTATTTAACTTTTTGAGAGTTCATAACGTGCATATTGCCGTTATAAGGCTTGTCCTCGAAAAAAATTCACAATTTTTATTCGTATGTAACTTTTTTATCCGTGGGTAAAAATTGATGAAAATCTGGGTATAACTAGTTTGGAGTGAATTGTTTACATGTGCAAAATTTCATAACAATCTTTTCAGTGGTTATTGAGATGTTATCGAAACAAGAAGAAAATCACCGGAGAATTTTGCGCGCCGTCATGGAAAATCCGACGGCGACCATGACAACTGGGAATCACCCATACAACTGTGTCTCGGGTGGTAAAATCGTTTAAGGAGTCCCAGACGACCGAGCGGCGGGCTGGAAGTGGAAGAAAATCGAAGACAGCTGACCCTGTGAAGGCCCGGAAGGTGTTGGATTATTTCAAGCGTAATCCGAACCTTTCGATTCGCGACGCGGCTCTGAAGGCAAAGTGTTCCGCCTGGTTCGTTCAGCAAACCATGAAACGAGCTGGGCTTCGTGTATTCAAGGTCCGGAAGGCACCGAACCGGCGTGGTCAACAAAACACGGCGGCCAAATCCCGCGCAAGGAAGCTGTATCGAGAGTGGTTAACGAAACCGATGAGTGTGGTTATGGATGACGAAACCTACATCAAGGTAGACGCAAAACAGATACCGGGGCTGGAGTTCTACGTTGCCAAATCACGGTTTGATGTTCCGGAAGACATAAGGAAGAAGAAAGTGGACGAATTGGCCAAAAATTACTTGCTCTGGCAGGCCATATGCCAATGCGGTAGACTGAGTAAACCGTACATCACAATGGGTACCATCTACAGCGAAATTTACCGCACCGAGTGCCTCCAAAAGCGTCTGTTGCCCTTCCTGCGGTCCCACGGCGGCGAGACATTATTTTGGCCGGACCTGGCATCATGCCAAAACGCGCGATCGACGTTGGATTGGTACAGAGACAATAACGTTGTTTTTGTACCAAAAACCGCCAACCCCCCAAATTCACCAGAGATTCATCCGGTGGAAAGATTTTGGGCCATAATGAAGGCCAAAGCTCGGAAATCGTCCAAGGTGTTTAAGAACGAGCTGGAGTTGAAGAAATAATGGATAAAAGTGACCAAAAAGGTCGGCTCCACCATTGCACAAAATGTAATGAGTGGTCTTAAGGGAAAGGTGCGGGCTTTCAGCGATGGAAAGGAAATTAAATACAGTAATTATGCAGAAACATAATCCATATGTATTAGTTCATTCCCTGAAAGTTTCAAGAAAATCCGACTTAAAATAAATTTTTGGCGAACACTTTTGTCTGGTGCATTTTTTTCGAGTACAGGCCTTAACTGAAACGTTCCTTAAACCTGACCATAAGGTTAAGAGGGACGCAAATTATTTCATTTATAGAAATGATCGTCTTGATGGAGCCTGTGGTGGCGTTGCCATCAATTTTCATAGACGAATCAAGCATAAAATTCTTTCTTCATTTGAAACCAAAGTTTTTGAAACTTTGGGAGTTTCTGTTGAAACAAAATTTGGACAACTTACGTTTATAGCTGCCCTTTTTGCCATTTCAATGCGTAGGCCAGCAAAAGAATTTTCTCAAGGGTGACCTCCAGAAACTTACCCGTCATAGGTCTAAATTCTTCATTATTGGTGATTTTAATGCAAAACACCGCTCATGGAATAATGCTCAAAGCAATTCCAATGGTAATATTCTGTTTGATGATTGTTCTGCAGGTTATTACACTATTCAATATCCAAACAGCCCAACATGCTTTTCTTCTGCAAGAAATCCCTCCACTATTGATTTGGTCTTAACTGGTTTTCTTTTCACCTTCCAGTAACTTTTGAAATATCCCAAGAAATAATTGGTAATCCCAACAGCTCTACTTTCAATTACCATAGAGCTGATTGGGAGCAATATCAAACATTTATGGAATATAACTTCGATCCATACATACCTTTGCAAACCAAAGATAAAATTAATTATGCTCTTGAATCTCTGTCT